TTGAATAGAAAAGGTGTTGATCTTAATGAATAAGTTGTAACTGTTAAATATGAAGACTTCAGTTGTATTTGAAATTATAATTCTTGATACCTGTGAATGTGTTTCTAAAATCAATAACTAGGAGAGTAATTTCAGATGTCTGAAATGGCTTTCTAGTAACAATCACATTCGGGGTATCGGAAAGCAAAGGAATTAATGCAAATATTTTTATCAAAATGTTAATTGTTTTTACTAGTAGCAGTTCATTGTTTGATATCAATGATAGGCAATTGAACTAAAGTAATGATCTCAAAAATGGAGGATTTTGCAAAAAATAATTATATATTTTGTGAAAAAAGAATTTCAGTTTTAATTTTCAATTTTACTAGTAGAAATGTAAGTGTGTGGATACTAAAAATGGCCAATGTGGAAATACAGTTCAATAGATCTGGAATTAGAATTTAAACTGGTGAAATCTAGAGTGCTGTTTTCAAGAATTAGCCTTTTTAACTATTGAGTGTTGTTGAGAATTAGCATTTTAACTAGTGAACACTAAATTGATGATATAAAGAAGTAGCACTTTTACTAGTGAATTGTTGGTATCAAGAAGTAGCATTTTAGTTTTGCCTTGAACACTAAATCTTTGGTATCCAGAATTATCATCTAAACTAGTGAACCAAATTGTTTATATCAAGAATTAGCATTTTATACAAGTGAATTGGTGGTATCAGGAATTAGCATTTTAGCTATGATCACTATTTTTTTGGTATCAAGAGTTAACATTTCAGCTTCTGGACATAAAGTTGTTGATACCAAAAATTTGCATTTAAAATTGTGAATTATTGTATTATTGTTATATCAAGAATTAGCATTTAAACTTCTGAATTATGTTAACTATGTGTAGTAGGCCTATATTATATGAATGATTATATCAAGAATTAGCATTTGAACTTGTGAACCCTAAATTGTTGATGTCAAGAATTAGCATTTTATACTAGTGAAATGTTGACATCAAGAATTAGCATTTTAGCTATGAACACTAAATTGTTGGTATCAAGTAGCATTATGAACATTAAATTGTTAATAACATGGTTTAGCATTTAAACCAGTGAACACTAAATTATTGGTATCAAGAATTATCATTTTAGCTATTAACAGTAAATTGTTGTTGCTATCAAAAATTAGCATTTTATACTAATGAATTGTTGGTATCAAGAATTATCATTTTAGCTATTAACAGTAAATTGTTGTTGCTATCAAAAATTTGCATTTTATACTAATGAATTGTTGGTATCAAGAATTAGCATTTTAGCTATGATCACTAATTTGTTGGTATCAAGAAGTAAAATTTCACCTTGTGGACAAAAAAATTGTTGATACCAAAAATTAGCATTTAAAATTGTGGAATATTGTATTATTATTCTTATTATTATTATTATACCAAGAATTAGCATTTAAACTAGTGAACACTAAATTGTTGATGTCAAGAATTAGCATTTTATACTAGTGAATTGTTGAGATCAAGAATTAGCATTTTTAGCTATGAACACTAGATTGTTGGTATCAAGAACGAGCATTTTAGCTTGTGGACAAAATTGTTGATACCAAAAATTTGCATTTAAAATTGTGAATTATTGTATTATTTTTATTATATCAAGAATTGACATTTAAAGAACACTGTTCACTCGAGTCTCAATGACCTGCGCACCGCCAGCCGAAATCATGCCGCTCACACCCAAAGCGAACCTCCGCAAACTCTGCGATGATGTCACATTCGCCTCGCGCACTCAAGCGAACAAGCAGACACGTCGAGTATAAACCAGGCTTCTGAAAGCTGCGTGTGTAATTCCGGTCACAAAATGCGGTGAAAATCCTACATGAGGTTTAAGTTTGGTTGTGGTGCAAACATGTTTACACTCTGTGTAATAGTTAGTTTCGATACGAACAAACTGAATCGCTCACTTGCCAAATCTGTGAGCCCTAAATTGTTGGTATCAAAATTTTGCATTTAAACTAGTGAACACTAAATTGTGGATGTAAAGAATTAGCATTTTATGCTATGAACACTAAATTGTTGGTATCAAGAAAGAACATTGTGAACATTAAATTGCTGCTAACATGGTTTAGCATTTAAACTAGTGAACACTAAATTGTTGATATCGAGAAACTTTTTTATATTAGTGAATTATTGGTATCAAGAATTAGCATTTTAGCTACGGACACTAACTGTTGAAATAAAAAAATAGCAATTTCTACTAGAGAACACTAAATTGTTGGTCTCAAGAATGAACATTTTACAGCGAAGGCCAAATATTGGTGTAAATAAGTAGCATCTAACCTTGAACACTATATTGTTTATATCAAGGATTAGCAGTTTAGCATGTGAACATTGTTGAATAATTTGTTGATGTAAAGAATTCATACTCTGCAGATGAATGGCTCAAACCGCTTGCCATATATTTTTAGCAGATAGTCCTGGAAGTTTTTTCCTCCCACTCAGCTGATTTGAGAAGCCACGCTAACTGCTCACACAGATAATGCGAATCATGTGAAGCCTGTTTGTGTATTTGAGCTTCTTTGCTACATTTCCTTGTCTTACTGTTATGAAGTGTTTATCCAACAAAACATTTCTCATTTATTAAAACATCTGTGCAGGAGCAATATCTTGGTGAAGTTTATGAAGTGATACATTGATTAACCACAGACTCAACTCTGAAGGCAAAAAGCTGTTGAGCTTTTCAGGCACCTGCTTATTTTTGAGAGATTGTGCCTTTTTCAGTCTAATGTAAAGGAAAAACCTGTGAAGTACCAAAGTGGTATCTTTAGATACAAATATGTATTTTTTGAAAAGGTACTGCCCCAGTGACAGCTCCTGTACCTTAATTTCTGAGAGTGTACAGTACATTTATAAAGGCTGATTTTTCTCAAACAAGGTATTCAAGGTATTCATCTATTCATTTTATTTTCAGCTTAGTCCCTTTATTAATCTGGGGTCGCCACGGTTAAATGAACAGCCAAATTATCCAGCATATCTTTTACGCGGCTGATGGCCTTTCAGCAGCAACCCATCACTGGGAAACATCCATACACTCTCATTCACACATACACTACGGACAATTTTAGCCCACACAATTCACCTACATCTTCTGACTTCGAAAACCGGAGCACCTGAAGGAAACCCACGCGAACACAGGGAGAACGTGAAAACTCCAAACAGAAATGCTAACTGACCTAGCCGAGGCTCGAACCAGGGACCTTCTTGTTGTGAGGCGATTGTGCTACCCACTGCGCCACTATGCTCCTCGGGGTCTTAATTTTGCACAATTAATGCATATTTTTGACATTGGACCATGGTAACACTCAATTTCTGTTGAAAAATAAGATTTATACATCATTCGAAAGCTGAACAAATAACATTTTCACTTAAAAAATGACAACTATTTGAAATTCTTAAATTGTGGGGTTGAAAATAATCAAAAGTTTAAGAGTTCACACTTAGCTGATGATTGATTATAAAGCTTATTTGGCATGCTGTCCTGGGAGAGAGCCCTGAGCTCATTAGATCCTCGAGCCCGGAGCTCCCTTCCAATAGCAAGGCAAGACAAAAGTTTGAGCTTGGGTAGATCTCGAGCACTCCCCTGCTGTATTAGCTAATGATTGTTCTTAAGAGATAAATACTTACTAGGAGCATGTCTATGGTGCCGATTTGGATTAGTCAATTAATTTAAGTTACATGTTTTTGGACGGTGGGAGGAAACCAGGGAACCTGTAGGAAACATAATGAGCATGGGGAGAGCGTGTAAACGCCGCACTAAAACGTCACCTGACTTGATAAGGACTAGAACCAGCAACGTTCTTGCTGTGATGCAACAGTGCTGACCACTGGGCCACCGTGTCACCCATCTAGGACAGGAGGAGAAGTAGGGGTGGAACGGGGATTCTTCAAAACGAAGATGGCTGTTATATGAAGCTTAGGGTATTTATAGTGGCTTAGGAATCGTCTGATTGGTGAATCATAAATTGGATAATGCTGCACCAGCCCCAAGAAATCATAAGCACGTGATCCTCTCGAAATTAGTTCAGAAATAAACTTCACATTAGGAAAACATCTTTAAAGTTGTACAAATTAAGTTCTTAATGCATTTTTTAATAACAAATTACATTTCAATATATTTATGGTAGAAAATTTACAAAATGTCTTCATGAAGCATGATTTTTTTGCTTAATATTCCAATGATATTTGGCATTAAAAATGTATAATTTGTACTGTTACAGTGCATTGTAGGTTATTTCTACAATTATTCTTAAGTAACTTAAAGAGGACCAATTATGCCTCTTTTTACATAATGTATAATAAGTCTCTGATGTAGCTAGAGTGTGTATGTGAAGTTTCAGCTCAAAATACCCCACAAATTATGTTGTATCATTTTTTGAAATTGCCCCTTTTAGGTTTTAATTCTAATTATGCCATTTTGGTGACAGTCGCTGTAAATTCAAATGAGATGGTGCTCTTTTCAAAAGAGGGCGGAGCTACAAATGCCTATGTGTCAGCATAGTGGCAGATTCAAAATTAAGTCTAATGTACTATGCGAATGAGGGGTAGATTGTCTTATTGGTGGGGCTTTTCCCCTCTGATGTCACGTATAAAAGGAGAATGTCAATCAATATGTTTCCGCAGTCAGTTTTTATGAAATGTGATGATAAAAAAATAAAACAAATAGATTTTTACAAGTAGAAGCAGGTTATATTCCCAGACTGTTCCCACAAAACTGTGTTTAAACATTATAAAAATCATATTTTCTCAAAATAGGCTGGTTTTGTGGTCCGGGATCACAATTAAACATGACGTTTTAGAAAACTTTATGTAATCAGTCGACTGGGGGAAGTGTGAGGATTTCTATTGATTTACATCACCTACAGTGTTTTGTCTAACCCATAATTTTGCACTCTGACCCCTAAATTTTTCAGTGTTTTGATTTCTAACCTGTATATTTTTGTTTGGTGTGTTCTTGTCCTGCCAGTGGTTAGGTGCTCCCAGCTGCTTGCGAGGCTCCTTCGCCTTCTATAAGTCGGTGGGCTTAAAGAAGGAGTCTGGAGGCCCGATTCGAGTCTGGAAGCTCGGGGAGTTTTACTTCATGCGATGCGGCCCTCAGGAGCCCGTGTGTATAGCGGAGGTCACACTGCTATGGGAAGACCAGATGCAGCGCCACCTGCTGGCCAGCTCCAGACTCTACTTCTTACCAGAAGACACACCGAAGGGCAGAGCAGTGGAGCATGGAGAGGTGAGAGAGATGAAATGCAATAGAAAATAAACATCATGTTACCACATATTAACCTGAACATAATGAATGACACCTGTTCAACAATGAACGAATGTGTGAATATAAATCAAACTTCACCTTAGTAAAGCTAGTTAGGCAGAAGAGCACATTTACTTATGTTCTGTTATTAAACTAAATAAAAATCCGATCAGGAAAAAAGCAGTGCTAAAAACAAAAATATCCTGTCATCTTTTTACATTACACTTACATAAAGTAACGGGTGACTTTTCATTTTCAGTTGTGCTCGCTGATCCTCGTACATTGCTTGTTTTCTGCTCCTTTATAACTTGAACAACTAAACGAATGCTCAGGTCTATTTAACTGACAATATTATCGATGCTGTAAAAGGTACTCCATGAACTTGAACATAGCCAATTTTTTTTCCTGGACGTTTTTAGTGGCTGAACAACACTTCTGTGCATATGAACCCATTCATAAACAAGAACACAATCTACATAAGCTTTGCGTGGCAAAAACAGTTCTTTATGAAGATTTGAAGTTTGAGAGTGTTTAAACGAGAGAAAAGTGTGAAAATGTTAATGCCTGTCTGAAAAAAGTGTTTAAAGTGTGTAGTGAGGGGTTTACAGCCTTAAAATATACATTAGAATTGTAAACTGTTTTGAAAATATGTGGCTAAGAAATAAATATTTTTTATTTATTATTATTTTTTTAATGGTAGCAAGTAAAAATCTTTTCTATTGGCCCAACTTGGTCATTAAAAAAAATATATCTGTATTTATCTCTGCACAAGTCTGAAATTTCATTCATAATGGCCCTAAAAGGTATTAAAAATTCTTTCATTTACTGCTTTTAACATTTAACATTTAGCTAATGCTGTCTAGTATGCATTAAGGAAGCTGATCTGAGCTTGTCAGTTTGCATGCTAGAACAGTAGGCATTTAGTGCTATCAAACTAACAATAGCATTTCCAAGATCTACTGCTCCTTTAGCTGCGACCTCAACACCTCGCTTGTGCTTTATTTTATATAATGCACAGGACTATAGTAACTTATTCTGCTTTTACTACATTCCACAACAGTTGTATCTCAAGACATCTGTCAGGTTTTTGTCCTCGAACTGCACCTGTGTGTTTCTTACGCATCTCGTCCAAAGCTTTCAGTTTTGTTGTTTATTGGACTGTATTTTTTAAATAGTTGTATAGCTGTGATGTACCTGAAACCATTCAGCATATTGATATGAAACTGTACTGCAGTCAAAACCTGCCAGGAACTACTTTTAGCTGTGGGTTTATCTAAAAATAACTGCACATCTTCAAATGTGTTCAGTGTGCTTGGGCAGAATTAACAGACAAAAGGTGATCTTTTAATGTTAATGTTATTTAATGTTATTTGGTTCACAACAATAGTAGACACAATACAACATGCACTCAAGCATAAAAATTGACGCTGTATAGGTGAAAAACATCAAATTTAAACTAAAGAAACTACCAACCAAAATATGTATTCAAGCAGCAAGCAATATACAGTGTACATAAGTAGAATAGTCATGACTTGGAGCTTGTTAAGGAACTATTGGAATAAATAATCTCAAGTATCTGTTCAATCTAGCCCAGGGGTTTTCAAACTGGGGGCCGCCAGATGGCACTAGGGGGGGGAGCAAAGAAATTTTAGATGAGGGGTAATCAATGAAGCGCCGCGCCACGCCTCTGTGCACGGGGACTTTTATTGATTAAGTGCTTCTGGCCGGGCGCTTCCTGTGATTTTTGCCGCTTGTCTGCTGCACCTGACAGCATTTACCTTTCATTTACGCTTATCTCTTTTTACGCTTAAACAACTAAATGAATGCTCAGGTCTATTTAACTGACAATATTTCAGTTAAAATACATGATCAATAAGAACATTATCGGTGGCTGAAAGCACTTCCCTGTATATGGCTTGCGTTACTAAGTAAATGAATCTGCGGAGTGCGCGCCTCTTTGCGCAGGGTTCACTCATAGGAAACAAATAGCACTTTAAAGACACGGCACAACATTGCACCTCGTCCACAGTGCGATAGGCTTTACACTTTGCCTTGCACAAATATCAGACGGTCCTCTTTGCAGCATGGCAAACAAACATATTAAAATTGTAAAGCAAAAAGTGCTGCAATAACAATGAATGGAGCTGACATCACATCAGCGAGTTCTCAGAGTTTCACTCCTGTTACACTAATGACAGCGGGATGA